GGTGATTCTTCGAAGATGGACGCTGCGAGCCTCATCGCCGCTTGTGCTCCCGTCCGCGGTGTGAGGGTCGAAAAACACCGCGTCCCTTGGAAGGCTACTGATATCTGAGTCACTGTCTGATAGAGCTGGCGTGAACCAGAGCGATGCCTCACTGGTCTCAGATTCTGATTCGCTCTTGTCGTCCAGTGGTGGTTGCAACTGCGTTGTCGGCCGCAAGTCCTTAACATGACGGGGCACACCGTCGACCCGCACCGCCTGCGGGCTGATCACCTCAGTGACGCATCTGGTTCCGTATTTCGTCATACACTTGCTGCGCGGGTCCTTAATCCATATGACATCTCCTTTCTTCAGCCTCTCTCCAGTTACTTTCAGTTCGGGCAGCGGGTCGGTCTCTATGCCCTTCACTCAGACGTGGTACCTATGCAATGTGTTGGCTGGCGCTGTAGAGGGTGAGACATCATCCCTCGGGGTCACGTTGTACAAGTAGATTGCCTCAGACACAGCACAGCCTGTCCTTGTTGCGATGGTCTTGACGGTCATGTGGTTTCACTCGATAATCCCATTTTCACTCGGTATGTGGGCGCACCGGAACCATAGGTGCACTCCCCAGCCATCCCCAAACTTCCTGAACTGCTCACTGGTGAATGCGGTGCCATTGTCGATTAATATCTCCATTGGGGGGGGGGCACGTTCAAGGAAGAACTGTTTAACTGATGGATGATGGTGGCTGCATCTTGCCGACGCAGCAGCCGCCATATCGCAAACCTAGATGGACCGCAATCAATGAGCGTCAGGAAATCCTCGCCGTTGTGGTGAATAACGTCTATCGCCAGCCGGCTCCAGTGGCTCCTCACGCTCAACTGCCCTTTCTTCCAGCGAATGGGTGCTGGGTCTATAGACTGGCATGCCACGCAGCTTCTGACCACTCTCCTGACGTCTGTCTTTTGTACTCCTGGGTCAACCAACTTGGCAAAATACAGTGTCCACTTGACTCCAGGGTGCCCGCTTTGTTGGTGGACTTTTTGGCTAGATTTGACCAGGGACACCTCCATTGTCAGCACGTACTCTTGCACCAGCTTCACAATCATGTCGAGCTGTCGTCGGATAAGCATCTCACTGGTGGCTTTAGTCCGCACCCTGGCCCTCCCGGTAAGGATATCCGAGATCCACTTATAGACGCAAGCGGAATCCGTGAATAGACGCAGGGTGGTCGACTTCCAGAGGATCGCCAAGTTGATTCCCTTGATGACAGCATCGAGCTCCGCTAGGTTTATGTGCTGGGAGTCCTTTTCTGGACGTAACCAGCAAGCATTTTCCACCACGGCTCCATCGTGAACTATCGATATGCCGGTTGCAAGAGAGCTTGCGTCAACCCACACACCGAGGTCTTGGCTGTTGACGCACCATCTGCCCTGCGCTGGGTCTTTCTTGCATAATCTAGCGAGGACCTCCCTCATCATGGTGTTGAGAGGGGCGTCGTGAACTTCGTCATCACATCCAGTGGTGACATCAGATGCTTTCTGCTTGATGAACGCCACTGCAACACGTAGCCAGCCACCTACAGGAGGGTGCCCAACTAACTTGCCGCACAAGGAAAAATAGCCGCCGGCGTGACAACGGGGGGGGCATGTCTGGGACTTTGTTTCCCCGTTTCCAATACAGAACATCATCCTCTCCCCAGACCTGCAAAAAACCAAGCACCGTGCACCATCCTGTAGCCTCTCTGGTTCCTTGCTGAGGAGGCCAAAGTTGTAGAGATGCTCCTTCACACACGCCGCAGATATGACTCCCTCGTTCACGTAATCAATATATGCAGATGTTGCCCATTGTTGGTCAAATCTCTTTTAGTGACATTCTTAAAGACAGTATTTTGCCTTTTGGTTCCATAATTTCTAACGTTTCCAAATTTTTTTTTCACGGTTTTCTGATTTTTGTTCATTTTTTTTTCACAATTTCCATTGTTGTGTCCCCATCACTCCACAGATTGAACTACTTTTAAATTGTATAATATAATCTCTCACCACAAATTACGTGATAAATATTTCTAATAAAATCAGATATTATAATTTGTAATTTATCATATAAGTACATCTTGAAAATTTTACCAGTATCAGTTGGTTAATACCAATTTTATTGTAAAAACTTGCATAATAAAGACAGTGTCAATGATGTGACAAAAAAAAAAGGAAAAGCTATAAGAAATTCAATGGTATCCCATAAGAAAATAAAAAAAAAATATAGCAAGTAAATCTTTCTGTGCAAGGGGTTTTTAATATAAGGCATGAATCCAAATATCCCTTTACCATATCCAGCCATTTTGACTTGTTTCTGGCCTACCATCGTGTTAAAGAAAGAAAGAAATACTGATGGTGATGCTGTGTAAATGCCCCTTTAACCTTAAGGTATGAACTCAAAATTCTATCTAAGCACAAAGTCAACCATCTTAAAAATGCTATTGCCATTGGAATTGTGCAATAATAAATAGAGATGAGAAAGCGAGGGTGATATTGTGCATGTCTCTCAATCATCATAATCCAATAGACAAAACTAGACCCAATGGAGATAAAACATGGAAATAAATTGATTTGCTTTCTACAGTTTATCAACCCTTTGCAGGTTATTTAAAGCCAGAAAGAATTTTTAGGCTGTAAAAATTTTTTTTGAGATAATAATGATTGTGATACAAGTTTTACTAATTAATCCATAGCTGGGGGAGAAGAGGTGGATTCATACCTTTCCCAAAGGTATTATGTAAGTGAATAAAGAACACGGCTGGAATTGGAACTCGGCATTCCTATTAACAATTCAGTCATTATCCATTACATCACAGTATACATCCAACCTTACAGCACTTAGTTTTCCCAAGCAGTCACCCATCACCTGACTCGACGTTGCTTAACTTACGGGAACCAATGTTGCAACATAATATGGCCGTAAGCTTTTAATCTTAGCCGGAGTTAGATAAATTTAATTATCAATGATGAATTTTCTTTGGTTTCTTTCATGTTTGGAGTGCTATGATCGCCAACGTTTATGGCACATAAGTGAAGTCCAGTTTTGTTTGAGGGATTCGAATTTTAATTTCAGACGTATTTTTACTAAGTTTGATTTTGAAATAAAAATTTTTAGACGTGTAAATGATTTTATGCTGACTCAGTAGAACTGTTGGTGGTGGAATAATATTTACCAATATTAAGTGTGTACAAGTTTTCCAGTGAAAAACCATGGATCTTCATGTAGGTTGTTAATAACTTCCGCGCGCACCTTTTTCAATTAATATTTTTGTAAGCAGTAAGTTGGAGTACACTCCCCTTGCTCCGTTTTACATCGTAAGCTAAAACACTAAAAACAAAAAGTAAATAGACTACTACTTTAGGTGGAGGTTAAACATTTATCTTTTAAATTCATTTAAAATTATAATTCAGAGTAAAGGGAACTTTGTTTTAATCATTTGAAGTTTGAGACTTGTAAAGAAAGTAACTTAAAAAAAAAATCATTTAATCCCAAGCACAAGGTACTAAAAATTAAAAAGCCACTAAAACGCAAAGGGTTGTGTGAAAGTGAAACTTAAAGGATAAGAGAAAAAAATAAAGAATACAATAAAAACACAGGAATTAAGAACAAGACAGAAGATAACGATTGATATTGCGTTTAAATTTTTAAAGATCAAATTTAACTGGAAAGCAAGAAGCTGGAAGAGGGTAAATTTGCAGATAATGTCCCAGTAACCAATTTAAAAAAAAAAAAAGCATTATTCCTTGTTTGTATAAAAAAGCCTGATTACTGCAAAAATATCAATAAAAATCGAGGAAACGCTACCGTTTAGGTAGGAGATATTGCCAATCTTAGTTGGGTCCCGGCTACAGCCTGGCCGCCTTAGTCGGAAATCTGTGAAGGCACTCGGTATGATGAGGGTCAGGGATTGACTTCAAGAACAGAAATCGAACAGGCATCCAGGCTGTATCATCCGGGACCCAACTAAGATTGTCAATATCTCCTGAAAAGTAACCTTTCCTCAATTTTTATTGCTATTATTTTTGCACCAGGAATAATGCATTTTTTTAAAAAAAAATTGGCCATTGTGGCATTTATCTGTAAATTTACTGAAGAGGTTTCGTTTCCACAAGCAAGCATCGAACTTTTGGATGAAAATGAAATCATGTTGGGGAAGAATTTGTCAATTAGAAACGAAAAAACTGATACCATACGTCCCGTTTTGAGGGAATCTGTCCCAGTAATATATTTTTTTTTTTTTATATCCATATTCGTTTATTTTTGTCATTCCGGAAACTTAAAGGCATGCTGGGTCATAAACAAAAACACTTTAAACTTAAAACTTAGTATCTGTCTATTTCTGAGATGATGTATTATGTACATTATTTACATTTATTCGGACTATTGTCCTATCTTTGTCGCCATATTTATTACAACGTTTCGGCTGTTATACGCTCCGGCCTTCTTCAGGTGGTTGGAAGAAGGCCGGAGCGTACAACAGCCGAAACGTTGTAATATGACGACAAAGATGAGGACAATAGTCCGAATAATATAAATAATGTACTAAAAACTTAATTCTTTGTTTTAAAAATGCCTAAGACGCGGGTAAAATTAATTTTTACGGGTTAGTTTTTTTTAGGCTATTCGCTATTATTTTTCAAATAAAACGTTTATGCTTCTTAAAAGCTTTTTTTTCACTACATCCGTGAAGGTAAGTCAAAAAAGAAACTAAAAAGTAAAAAAAAGAATATTAAAATAAAAATTGAAAACTCTTCCGGCTTGAAGCTAGGAAACAAGTCTATATTTAATTGTTAATTTCCAATTGCAATTCCAATTTTAATGTTTGTTTATTTAAAAAAAAAAAAGCAATGAAAAATAATTAGTAAAATAATAAACTAAAAACTTAAAAAGTAAACAAACGTCTTTTTTTATGACCTTGCTTTTTGCGCGATGCAAGTTTTAAATAAAATCAAAACAAACTTGTAGTGTTCCTAACAATTGCTTACCTGGCTAAAATAGTCATCCTTATAGTATTTCTGCTATTAACTTATGAAGAGATTTCTCCACCAAAGAATTGAAGCCGAACTTATTTCTACATGAATTACCAGAAAACACGAGCGGCATGAACAGAGGCCGCCATGACACTTCGGTTTACGTTCAGGGAGGCTTCATTATTTCGAACCAATAATTCTCTACAGCAGATTTAAAAAAAAAAAAGAAAGTGAAATAGAGAGATTAGCAGAAACTATGGATTGTTGATATTGACTCTTAGATTGGTATATATATACATAAATTGATAGTGTGGTGCTGGGTAGGAAGATTGTGTTGCGCCAATTCTTAAAGAAAGTAGGACTTGTTGGCTTTTTAACAATCGAAATCGCAACTTTGACCTCAAACATTTAAAGGAGAAATATACTGCTCTCTCTCCTCTTTAGAGTTTGTAGAGACAGACAGAGACACGGCAAAAGTTATTGACGCATCCACGTGGGTCGTGTAAATAGATTAATAAATTCTCCCTGAATTAATGTTTGGAACTAAAGAAGATGGCGGCGACCAGGGAACGAGTGTTGTCCTTATATAAATCTATTTTGCGAGAATCACAAAAGTTCAAATCATATAGTTACAGGTAAACATTTTGCAATCTTAATCATATCTAACTCGAACGAAATTACCTGTTCATTTCTCTATTATTATTATAAGATATGAAGTAACATGATATTGTTTACTTGTTTTTAGTTCTATCGTGGTGGTAAATAAAAGCGACCTCAAAATATTTAAAAAAACAAACAAAAAACTCTTGAATTAATGTTGTTAAAATTATTACTTTCTTTGTGTTTATGAATAAAACATCTTTTTTTTTTATTTATGGTATATGAAATGTTATTTCTAACAATTGATTTCTGGATTTTTTAAACTGAATTGCGTTATTTATAACTTTTTTCTGGAAGAGAGTTAGTTATGTAACATTTCACAAGCCATCAAGTCAAACATTCGGGTTCAATTTTCAATTCTTTTTTATTCTAAAAACTTACTATTTTTAAAATATCATTTAGGCTTTTAATTTTTGCTTAATTTTGGTCACACAGTAAATTCAACTAGTAGTTTTTTTTTTTATTATTGTTTTTATTTATTTTTTAAAGTCGGGAAAAGTTTCACTCTTCCTCCGAAAGTTTGAAACAAAAGAAACAAAAATAAAATTTCAAGATTTTCTTTTTAAAACTGACAAAAAAAATATGTTGACTAATAAAAAGTTTGGAATTAAATTTTTTTTATTCTAATTTTCCCTTTAAAAAAGCACGTGTTAAACTTAAAAAACAATTAAAAACAAATTCACTTTTTAACTGTGATTGATTGGTACTGTTGTGTTATTTGTTACTTCATCTGATTTGAATCAAACAAATTCTAGTTAATTTCTAGGATTTTTTAAGAGTTATCATTATATTCGAATTATCTTTGTTGCTATTCACAATATTTCTGATGAACAAAAGGACCGGTGGGCCCAACGTCCGAAGTCCGAATGTAAATCACGACTCCCTTAATAATACCCGTGGGTCATAAGGACACTACTTGTCACTATAGAGATGGATTCTACTTCCAGGCGGAGAGGAATCCAGACGAGTATATGCCGAAGGACAGTCTCGTTTAGGGACGTAGACAAACATGACTCCGTGTATACCGGGTCTACAGGCAATTTTTTGCCCGAGCCTACGGTCTCGGAACGCCCCACATTAAAAACTGGCATTGTGCAACATCTTGCCTTGTGGGGAGGTTGGTACCTTTCCCAAGGGCATAGTATTTGTGCGTAAGTGAATGTTATGCTCTAATTAAAGTTTGAACTCGACGCTCCCATTTCAAGCCGCTATCCACAACACCGCGCAAATAATAGTTTGACAATTTATAAAATTACATATTTTAATTTTTTCTTTTTTTTTTTTTTTTTTTTTTTTTTTAAAGACATTTTGATTGATAGTAATTTATCAACAATGTTTAACCTTCATGTCTGCAAAAAAAAAAAAAAAATGGTTTGTGTCAAAAGGATGATTATTTCTTTGACACCACTACACTTTTGACTCCATTGGCAATATTTGTTTTAAAAAGGAAAATAAATAATATGTTTATTCAAATTTTTTATTTTTATAGTTCATTATTGGGACTGTCCTGGGTATGACAATAAACTATGTCCTGCTGCAAGGCCTATGATCAGGCGGTTTTGAGGAGCGTGAAAGCACCTCTTAATTGCTGGTGTTCCCAGGTCCATCCTAACCCAGGGTGGTAGCACTTTTTAGGGTCCCAGCTATGGGCAAATTGTTAACCCCAACCCAACTGGGGTCAAAAAACTATGAAAGTGTAAAAATCGGTTTTAATACCAGAAATACTTTGTAAAAATTTATCACCAGCAATAAATTTTTGAAGAAAAAAAACTCTATTACCAGCAATACATTTTTGAAAAAAAACATTACCAACAATACGTTTTTGAAAAAAAATATATTACCAGCTATGCATTTTTTATTACCAGAAACAGATTTTTGCCAGGACAAAACAAAATATTACCAGAAATAACAATTTTGTCGGCATTAAATAACCCATTGAGGTTGATATGCCATAAAACAAACCAAACTATGTATTGGGAAAAGTTTTTAAAATAAATCCTGCATAAAACCTTGATGAAGAACAATAACAAGAATGGCATACACAACACAGGAGACACAAGTCGAGAATCATAAAAAGTTTATTGCAAAAAACAGGTTATAGGTTATATCAGGCATATACAAAATCTGTTGAAAATATGAAAATTTTGCTCAATAAGAAGATATGAAATAAGGTGAAAAAATTACATTCTTTCCATTACAAATAACACCACATAAATTAATCTTGAAGGGTAGAAACATTCTTTCAAAGAAAAACAATATTACCCAAATGAAAGTAAAGTTTATTATGAAAATGGGTAAGTTCCCGAACACATGTCAGTAAATGTATTAGTATTCAATATTTTTCATTTACTTAATAAGGTAAATACATGAAAAGTTTCAAAGATAGAAAATGGAATAGTAAGAGGCACAGTGGTGTAATGGACAGTGGCTTGGATTGAGGAATCGGAGAGACAGTCGAATTCATTACATTCACTTACATGATAATACCCTTGGGAAAGGTATGAATCCTCTTCTTCTCCCCCAGCTATGGGTGAATAGCAGGACAGACTGGGTTCTATAGCCTTGGATGGCAACTGGTCTACTGCAGAAAGAAATGGCAACCTACTGCAGGAAAAAATCTGCCTTGTTAGTCATGTATCGAAAGATACATGATCGCCTAAGCGTGTATCACACATGGCACATAACTGAAGAGAAATAATAATTTCTTTCAAAAGGTACCATTCCATATTACTGTTGTATTTGGATGACAGGATTCTTTGTCTTTGATATTTAGTAGCTGGATGTGATTGGGAATTTGTTGTCTCTGGATTCACTGGTAATAATTCGGGTTTGAATCTGGAGTGTTCACTTCTCCCACAGAACCAAGAGCGACAATGTGTCCTGCAGGTAGAAATTTTCAACTTGATCTTATAAGTTTTTCAATTCCTTAAGTAGGCATATCCTCATGACGATACCTTTAAAGAAGTGTGATTGTCTGTTGGCAATTTCCTACTTAAGCAGGATATTCCAAAATGGGCTGGGTGTTGGTTGGCTGAGAGAATCATGATGTTATTAACCCTCTTGCGGGCAAGATTAGTTGAGTAGACATATTGGAAAAAACATTGAAGGGGTCAGGCGACTGCTAGCTAAATAGGTTGAGAAAACTGACATCAGCAAAAGTTCTTCAATAGAAGCTATGAGTCATGTTTTCAAAACTTGGAAATTCCACCAAGGTGATACAATATTTTTTATACTTGTTTTCATAGTTATTGGTTCACATATTTTCATAATTTTGTATATTTTATAAATTTTGGAATAAAAAAATTTCTTTCTTTATAAGATGGTAAATAATAAATCTTTATAAAAGGTAAATAATAAGTATTGTATTTGTTCCACAAATTTTTATTATCTTGTAAATAAACCTTGCCAAGGGAGTCGAAAGTGTATACAATATTTATTTTTTTAATGATGTATCTCTAGTATTGAGGAGGAGGGTTGCTGCAATGGATGTTGAAAAAAAAATGAAATTATGTAGAAATTATTTACACACAGGCTAATGTCCACATCTTTGTTGTTGTTATTACAATGTTTCAGCTATTGTGTACTTGTAGCCTTCATCGGGTGTATGTCAGCCTGGGTAACGTATAGGGAATTCTCAATTTCACCACTACCAGGTGGGTTTCATATTTAGACATATTAGCTCCACTGGAGCCTTGAAGATCCCAAGCAGATGAGCTAACACAGAAAGTGAGCCAAGCACTAGAAAAGGCCAAGCCATCTAAATTAAACATCGCAAGGGAAGAAAAGTTGGTAATTACTAGTATCATCATAATACTAGCTGACAAAGGCAATGTTTCAGTGGTGATAGACAAGTACTCCAAAAAATTGTCAAGCCTAGTTGATGATGGCAGCTTTCACAAGGTAAAAAAGGATCTGATCCTAAAAACTGAGAGGACGCTCTCACAGATCCTAAATAAGAACAAGGACTATTTTGTATTGAATAAGTACAGACAGGTGATTCAACGTTACACCAAGCTGCCGAAAATGTATGTTCTCCACAAGATTAACAAAATTGGTATTTTACTGAGACCTATAGTCAGCTGTAGGGGCTTGGCATGCAACCCACTGAGTCGATTCCTAGTGAATATAGTCAACTCACTAGCAGGGAAGTCCTATCTTAGAAACTTGAAACACTTTGTGGAATTGATCCAAGAGGTGCCCATCCATAGCAATTGGATGATAAGTTTGGATGTGGTGAGCCTGTTTACAAGTTTCTACAGATGAGGCCTTTACAGTGGTTTGAAATTGATTGGAATCGGACCCGCCCTTGGAGAATATACTAATGTTCCAATAGATAATCTAATGGAAATATTGACATTTTATGTACAGATAA